ATCATGACTGGGAGTAAACGTGTGGCCATTGAGGAATGAGCACTGTATGATTTTTGGACCCAGCCTCACCCCGAAAGCTTTCTTTGGAAAGAGCGAGCTGAGAGAAAGTATATTCTTTTCCCTGCCACATATTGCGGAAGAGAGGGGCTGTGCGTGTGCGTGTGTGCATGTGATTTGTGTTGTTGCAGGGGAACTTGTGTGACTCTGTGGGAAGATGAGTTAAGACAGAGGGGGAAGAGGAATGCTGCGGTTACCTTGGTCGTCCGTTATTGCGCAGAGAAGTGTTTGTTCGCGCGCACTCACACACTCTGCTGCAGAGCTGTGAAACCGCAGTACAATGACCCCCAGCTGTTAGTATGCAGAAAGCTGTTATCAGCAGGACACAACAAAGCACCGACTCCATATGCATGTGGCTCAAGGACCCTCCTCCATCTTCCAGGATCTTGTATGTGTCAATCAATCACTTTCACGCATTGTGTACGTAGACTGAATGGAGATATAAGGAGCTCAAGTGCCCTGCATACAAAACACAGTCCTGATGATGATGATGTTTACCGACATGCTGTGCAGTAGCCTTGAGTGCACGTTGGTGCAGTTTATAAACGTGGCGCGGTGGTGGGTTGCTCTGTGCCGACAGAGGTCCGGTGTAATTGTCTGAAGTGCGAGGTGATTTATTGAGAATTGTGGGATGTATTCTGCCTCCTCCTGTACTTCTAAACTCACTTTTCCAATCTCCATCTCATTATCACTGTACCCGACGCTCAATCAACAACTCACTACGTCTCCACTGCAATAAATTCACTTGAGAGAGTCGGGCCTGACTTGGCTGTGCGTTTGGCCCGATCCTGCACTTAATAAATCTCAAATTTATTGCACATGGCGACGCCGACCTCGACTGAAAGGCTGAATCTGAAGTGCAACGATGCAAATGAACTAAGCATATATGTGCATATGCTTGCACTTGGGTATGTGTGTGCAAGAGGGTAAAGAGATGGACGTTATGTATGCGATCTTACATACCTGAATGCAAACTATGTGTAACATTACTAAGAAGCGTGGCTGATAAAATACGTCGCTCCGGCCAGGAAATCTCACATCTGTCACAGTAGGGAGATGATGCTGTTGACCCACAGCATGTATTAAATCTGTCACGGTGAGGTCATGTCTCATTTTTCAAATCTGTATCTTTTCTTTCCACTTCGCTTTCACACATGAGAGGAAAACAACAAATGTCACGTTGAAGTTCATCTATAATGTTTTGCACGGTGGTAACTCTGTGTCACGCTATCTTCTTCCCCGCCTGCACTTTCAGGAGTCCCACTGAAGCCGAGGAAGGAGCTGGTGTTTTCGGAGCAGCCGTCGGGTCAGCTGGAAATCCGCTGGTCGTCCAAGTTTAACATATCCGTGGAGCCCGTCCTCTATGTGGTGCAGCGCCGCTGGAACTATGGCATCCATCCCAGCGAGGATGATGCCACAGAGTGGGAGACAGTGGCACAGGTAGGAATCTACATGTAAAACCCTGAAGCATAGCAGTAAGATAAATATGTTTTTACTTTTCAATGCCCTCAAATGTGTCTTTTGATCAGAGCTGTATCACAGCAACAGAGCCTCACGCTCCAGCTGTGAAAGTGCTGCACTGCACTGACAGACTGTTGCACACGGTTGCACATTCCTCACAGTCGCAGTGTCTTTGAAAGTCCTGGCAAAGAGAAACACACAGATGACTGATGTGGAAGCAAACTCACGTGGGGCTGTGACCCTGCGTGAACCCTGACCCCTGTGGTTTGCTCTCCTCCCCATCTGTCCCCTCAGACCACAGAGGAGCGCGTCCAACTGGCCGACATCAGAGCCAGCAGATGGTACCAGTTCAGAGTGGCTGCAGTCAATGTCCATGGGACCCGCGGCTTCACTGCGCCCAGCAAACACTTCCGCTCCTCCAGAGGTCTGTGTGTGCTATGTACATATGCGTGAGTGTGTGTGTGCGCGCCTGTGTGGCCTTACTTTGTGTGTAAGATCCTGTTTGACACCCACTGCCCTCCATTTGTTATGGTTAAGACCTTGGAACAGGTGGAGCCTTTGGGAAAGAGTTTTTAGACCTGATCTGACAATACAAACTCAAGTGTGGGTGGTGAATCATACATTTGCATTTCATCCGAGCTTATTTAGCATTTTGTTGTTTAAAAATGTCAGTTTTTATTCCCATGGCTCCCTTTGCACCTCTTCACAGACCTGAAACACATATTTTAAGCAAGGACAGAGACTTGTTCACCTTTTTGTGTGTCCATGTCTAACATGTTCACCCCCATGGCTCTATTAAACTGAGGCAAATTGATAATGGTGAAGCCCAGTACACATTAATCATTTTATCACACCTGAATTGTGAATAATTATTTCATCCCCCCACATTTAGTCACTGTGCTAAATAGAAAAGCTAATTCTTGTCAATGCAGAGTAGAATCCAAGTAAAGCAAAGAGGAGCGACCGGGTGTGCAGACCATTTCTTCCCTGTGGTGCAACCAGATCTTCAGTTATGCCTTCAAAGGAAGGGGTTTCCCCCTCTTTACACTCATATAAAATGTAATATGTCTGAATTAGTCAGGATATTGCAGGTTTCAAATAAATGCAAGTGTTGTCATGCTTCCAGAGGGGGTGATGTAACTGAGGCGGGCTTCAGATCTTTGCCACAGATTAGTGAATGAGCTCTGATGCCATCCTGTGTTACCGCTCAGCTCGCCTTCCCTGTATTTTCAGTGTTAAATGACGCTAAATACACGTGTTGTCTCACAGATGGCATTTGTTAAAGTTATGGCCAACTGTCATGTGGTTCCATGGGATTACAGGTTTGTGAATGTGATATTTTGTCTAGATTGCATCAGATACTGAGCTTTTTTTCACATACAGAGGCAGAACCATGTGCAACATGTAGAAATGAAATGGCTGAGGTAGCAGCTTTGAATTCAGTGCACATGATGTAAAATAGGTTCTGCATTGTGTGGACCACTGTACATTTTTTCACCAGGCTGCAAGAAACTTTTTAGATAAAGTTGTTTACTACTGGATCTCTGGCAGTATGAACCATTTTCTGCCAAATAACTAAAATCTGTGCCAAATACTGAAAGTTTAGAGTTCGGTATGTGTGTACGTGCACATGTTGACCTGTCCTGTCAATCCTTCGTCATCAGTTCGCTCCCCAGAGTTTTGCGGATGGCTGTCAGGCAGATCCAGATACCAGGTGGGGAGAAGGATTCTTCTGTTGGGATGGAAACTGATCTCCAATCTGACCAATCAGTGCCAGAACGCTGATAGATTGATGGGAGCTGTCATGGACTTGATGAGCTCCTGGCTGTTTTTGTCATACCATTGTTATTTATATAGCCGGACCATATCATCTGATTGCAATTTTGCAGTACTATACTTAAAGGGCCAATTTGTAAAACTCGGACGCTTATTTATTTTGTACGGCCAAAGTCAGCTGGTGTGGATAGCTCAATATGTCCAATTTGTGTTATTGGACTGGATTAAATGTGTTTCAGGTGGGAGAGGGCACAGGGAGAGGCGAGCCAACTGGGTTGTGGCGTGAATCATTTTCTCATTACAGGCCTATTCCCTCCGGTCTGGCGTCTGGCATGTGGCCCTGCCTGCCCTCCTGCAACCAGCAGCTGGGTCGCAGCACATACATATTGGTTCAGAACCAGCTTTAGTGTGTGGGGACGCATACACAGTCACACACACACACACAGAGTTAGCGTACAGGAATGCTGAGCGCGGAGCCAAAGTGAGCAGCATGTGTTTGTTAACCCCTGACCTGTGCTCTCCGTCCTGTTGAACGCTGTCATGGATGTGACATGACACCTGTCATAACATCGCACAGCAGATTGTCAATGGAGGACTAATTAGTGTACACAGTGTCATACTGCTCCCCCTCCTCAACAGCAATATAAACCCTCAAGTGGTGAAAGGTATCTTTAGCCTGTAATACACTCAACCTGAAATTGTACTCGCAAAGGAAACCGCCTTGGCCCAAGATTTGTCATGTACAAGAACCAGAGACCCTCCTAGACTTCCTCCCTAAATGTCCACAGATGTACCAAAATATTTCTTTGTTGCTGCTCCATCCTCAGATCCATCCGCCCCTCCCAGCCCCACCAGCCTGCGTATCGCCAACGTGACGCTGGCCGACGAGGGCCTGGTGACGGCTCGGCTCAACTGGACCCTGCCGGAGGAGCCCGACATCCCCATACACCACTACAAAGTGTTCTGGAGCTGGACCGTGCCCACCAAGTCCATGGTGCCGTCCAAGAAGAAGAGGAGAAAGACCACCAATGGGGTAATCTTCTCACCCTGTCTTAGTGATGTGTTCTTTCTTTAAAGTAATTTTAAGGCTTTCAATCACATACACATTGATTCAGTGTGGTTTCCATGGTTTTGATCACTTATACCAATTAAGAACCCTTAAACACAATGTCAAGCTTTAAAATAAAATACAAAAGTGTGGTGAATAGTCCTTTTTATAGTGATAACTTATAATTTGTGTATTTGCGTATCTCAACTTGTATTCATATTTTTTCACTTGGTATTTTACTCAGTTTTTGATTGTGTACTTCAGGTGATTTATTAAAAGTGGTATGGGTTTATTT